ACACACACACACACACACACACACACACACACACACACAAATCTTTACTCACGTTTGCACGGCCGAGGCGCCAGAGCCTGGACTGTCCACGAGCGTTGCCAAACCAACAGACCCTGCCAGACCGCCCTGGGAGATGGATGAGTTTGCGGGAACGAGCTCCATGCTGTGACGTCAGCGAGATGCGTGCACCACAATTAACACGGCTATATCAATGACGTAATGACGTCAGAAAAGTCCCCTTCGTTTGACGACGCCGACCTCTGCGGGAAAAGAATGATGACAGCTACTGTTGCTGGGCAGTGCGGAGAGAAATTACTTTTCGAGAGCAGCTGTGATGAATAAATCGGTAACAACTCCAGACTGTAATCAAAATGAGGACAGCAATAATAGATAGATAGAACAAAAAAAACAGGAATCGCAATAATAGACAATAATACCAATAACAATAAAAGATAACAATAACAGTAACAACAATGATTCAATCAGTCACAACTCGGCCCCTGTGGTGTAGGAGTTAGGCGCTTTGCTGTTCAACACAAGAGACCTGAATTCTATTCCCCAGTGGGGAGATTTTTTGTTGTAGAGTATCTCGGTTTTTCTGCTGGGATGCTTTATCCCTCTACTCAGTCCGGGTCAGCCCTATCAGGCAGGGTCGAAACCTTGCCTTTTAAGCTTAAATGATCTAAAATGTGTCGATGAGGGGGTAAAAACTTCGACAACTTTTTTTAAAATCAGTGACAAAGGCTTTAACTTTGTGTGGCAAGTGCCGTAAAATTCATGGTAGATCTAAACTAAAGGCTACTAAGTGAATAGTTGGTGGGCAATTAGGTGTGGTTTTCTTCTTCTTTCCGACTAAACATATATCGTTCCTATTTCTCTCCCTTCTTTCCTTTGTATGTTACTCTCTTGTAACACCTCCCATCTTTGGCACGTATATGACCTAGGTATATCTGTGTTGTAAGTGTCTTTAAACAACTCTCACCAAAATAAATTATAAAGGCTTCAGACCCGCCTACTAAATCATCTAAATTGTGCCGATGGGGGCGTCAAACAGCTAATATTAATTAAAGGCTGCAATATTTTTTTTTAAGCCTTCATGCCTTCATAGTCATCAGAGTACATCCCAATTTGGGCACATACATAATCAGCGCTTGGGACGAGGTAGTGACCTACGGTACGTCACTGTTCAACACACCCAGATTTAGAATAAAATCGACCAACAAGTTGATGAATTGGTTTTGTTTATTTTGTTTGTTTTGTTTTGTTCTTGTTTGTTTTTGGGGGGTTGCATTAGCGCGAGACCAGTCTGTGTAGAAATTGCGGGTAGGTCTGACCTATAGAAATCGGAATTTAATAAATTTAAACAACTTTTCGAGTTGGCCGCGTCTGTCATATTGGCTGACTAGAACACAAACATTATTGTCGTAAACATGCAAGTTCTGTTTTATATTAGTACAAGCACGATCACCGGAACGTCACAATAGAAATCCTACAGCTACTGATGGCCATTGAGCCATAATAACACGAGGTGATGAAAGGGTAAAGCTGGGAAAATGATAGACTTTTTTAAGGGTAGATCTACCATGTAGCAGAGCAAAAACTGTCTAAGACAGCTACCAATGTCGAGGAGAAAAGAGGCGTCCTAGACAGGTAGACGTCTTACACAGTGCCATTATAATGTTTAAAAGATTATACGGCAGGAAACAGGAAGTGGTTGTTTGAACAGGTGAGTGTCTTATACAGGGGGGCCGTTAGAGCAGGTTCGACTCTATTTCTGGCTTGTGACGGACGGACAAGCGGAAGGGGTGCGTAGGTGTCTGGTCGGGAGACACAGTGTGTTTGGTTCCAAGCAGTAGGCCTACCATAAAGAACAAAATAAATCTTAACTAAATCATGTGTTATGCTGAATTGCCTACGCCCACCCTCCCCTCTCTCGGCCAAACTGGTATGTGGTGTAGTGGTTACGCTCTTCGACTTAGCATGCAGGTGACCCGAGTTTGATTCCTGAGTGGAGAGGATTTTTATCGAGTATCTCTGTCTTTTTGCTTGGATGTTATATCCCTCTGATCCCGGGTTGGTCCTTAAAGGCAGGGTTTTGCAGCCTGTCTCCTGAATAATCTAAAATGTCGATGGGGGTGTAAACATCGAGAACTTTTTACTTCTTCCGGCTTGATGAAATCGGTGGAATTAGGGTGATAATGATACTTTCCACATGACACACCGCCCACTGCGTCAGGTCAACGCGCTAGTGTTAGGAGACTGAATTACGTGTGGCATTTGAGTCTTTCTAGCTCTTTCTCGTCCTTTGTGGAAACGTTTTTCCCTGTCAGCTCGCGTATTTCGCAAAATTAGCACGACAGACATTCTTCAGGGTGTCCAAAAAGAGAGGACCCATTTGAAGAACTATAATAAATCGGTCATCTTTGCACCATATTTTTCTACAAAACTTGAAGGGGGGACTGAAGGCTATCTCGCTTAATAGTGGATCAAATTTTACCGAATTTTACACATATAACAAGCATAGTCATTGACATATCTTACGTAATGAGTACCGAACTTATTTTTCATGGATATAGATTAATTTTTTGCATGCATGTTAGCAAAAATTAAATCTACAAATGTTTCTGTTAAAATATTTCTAAACGAATAAGCAATCTTTTAATGGATAATTTGCTGTGGTGGTATTCAAGTTTGAACAAAATCCGTAAAAATCCACACTCCAGAAATCAACAACAAAAATCTATTCCACATTTCCACATTTTAACAGAGAATTTTTTGGGATTACTCTTCCTTTCATTCTGTGAAAATCTCATGGAGATTGGATGAAAAATTGTGGAGTTATTCAAAAAAGTATATTGTAGAAAAATCGCTTTTTGAGAAAACGGGCGATAAAGAAAAGAAAAAAAGATTGACTTTATGAGGAAATGGTGGTGACAAACATGCCTGGTATGGAAAGATATAAGGCTTTAGGGGGTTCCTATGGGATGAAATAGTTGTACGAGAGACTGAGGCAGCAAAAAGTGCCAACAACTGAAAATCCATAATTTTGAGCCGAATTGGGACTTTCGGGAGTAGATCCAGCTCCCCCTTTAACAAATGAAATTCATCCAAAGGGACGTCCAATTTGTCGATATGAAGAAAATCAATTCACAAGTTCGGGAAACATCAAGTTTTAACAAGAGCAATCAAAATTGAGTAAAACACAAAACTTTACGCCTTAAAAGAGTTCAGCTACAGGGACGTGATCGGCCTCTTTTGATTCAGAACGAGGACGGTGGAACCACGACCGTCATATCTGATGGATATCTCACCGTGCGAGAATGTTTGGGGGGAGTTTGGAGAGGAGAAGGGTTAAGCTGTTGAGGAGGCCTGATTCCAGCAGGGTGTAGCCATACCCCACACTTCAAGAGCAGCCCTTGCATGGTTACAAGAAATGTTTGGAGAACGCCTTTTTAGCCAAAAGTTGTTGTTTTTTAATGAATGGTCACCGTATTTCCCCGACTTGAACCCTTCGAGTATTCTCTTTCAGGATTTTTTTGTCAGAGTCTGCGGTTTAAAAACACAAACAATCGAACAGTTGTACATGAATCCTATTGTTGAACGGACCGTCCAATGAATCGACGCAGAAACATGCCACGGCTTATTCAAAAATGTCCGCGGCGTATTCGAGTTTGTTTGTAGAGCAATTGTCAGCACCGTTCCCTGGAAATATTCAGGCATATCCATTTTATATGAATGTGATCTTCGAGGCACGAATACACATTATGATTAAATTTTAAGAAGTGCAAAATTTTTCGTTTCACTCAAAAGTGGTTGACATTTTAGAAACTTGATGCATCTCGAACAGTTGGATTCACGCTCGTATCAGCAAAGGCAATGTCCCTTTAGTTGTACAGATTGTAAAGCACACAGAGCTTGCTGTTGGGCGGGAAAATGCGCTGTACAAATTATATCCTATCTTTTATTATTTGTATTTTATTTGTTCCCAAGTTTTGTTGAAATCGGTCCATTGATGAGCGAGTGGTTGCCTTTTAAATGGGTCCTCTTTTTTTTTTAGACACGATATATTCTTTGGACTGAAGTCGCCCAGAAGTTGTCCCGCTCCTGTGAGCTGGAGACAGGATATACTACTTTAAATCGGTTGGTATCATGCTGGACTATCGAGAGGAGGGTCCGGGTTCAAATTCCCGACTGAGTGTTCTTGAATTGGGGTCGCTTTGTGTTGTGGGGTTTTTAAGGCTCTGAAACAATTTCGCTCGGTTCTATCGGAGATGGATGTTACATTCGGGGGCCCAGGCCTCTGAACTCTTTTTCATGTTACGGACACATGACGTATATGTCTGATCAGCAGCAGACCAAAGCTAGTAATGCTGCTTGTTTTGAATCATTATGCACAAATCAGAAAACAAATTTGCATATTTTATAGCATCCATGTCGTTGTCTGTCCTTTTGACTTTCAGGTAAAAGAAGCAGAATTTAAATACATGTATCGATGTGAATTAAGAAAGTTATGTCTTTTTTATAGTAAGGTGTGGAATTCCCCCATTTTACTACTACCGCATTACAACACATCTTCAAACGTGCAAATTGCGCGTCTTAAGTGAGTTTTTTTTTTAACCTTACAGTTTTGAAAAGGGCGTTAAACCTATACATTTACTTACTGTCACGAGACAAAAATGGGGGGGTTCAGGTGTGAATTGAGTAGTTTTAACTCCCATTAGTAACTCCCTGGGGGTGTGTGAAGAGGTCAATGTGTGATAAGCAAGAAATAGGTCAGAGATATCTAGTTACCCTGGGGTACGGGCTTTTACCCGGACAATTTGTCTTTGCTGTCTTCACCCTATCCACTAGATTTCTTTGGCATAATTTGACTCTTTAGGGTTTTTAGGGGTGTAGATCTATACTAAAGCATATCCATGCAATCTCTCTGTCTCTCTCTCTCTCTCTCTCTCTCTCTCTCTCTCTCTCTCTCTCTCTCTCTCACCCATACGCACACACAAACACAAACACACATACTCACCCACACACATACACCCACAAGCACACACACATAAACACACACTGACACACACACACATAAAAACACACACAAACACAAACACTTACACACACACACACACACACACACACACACACACACACACACACACACACACACACACACACACACACACACATGAGAGAGAGGGGGGAGGGAAGGGAAAGGAGAGAAAAAATGTATTGGTCAATGAGTGAGTGACCCAGGGTTGGAGAGTGACATTTCGGAACAAGTTCATAACCTTTGGATCAGGGACAAACACGTTATCACTTCTTTGTCATCAAGGCAGTGGTGGGATTGAGCGTAAAAACCTGAATAATAATATCATATATTGGTATTGCCTTTCGCACGGGTGTCGTGTGTGGGTACGAGTGTGTGTATGTGTGTGTGTGTGTTTGTGTGTGTGTATGTGTGTGTGTTTGTGTGTGTGTGTGTGTGTGTGTGTGTGTGTGTGTGTGTGGATGCTTGTGTGTGCGTTTGTATGTGTGTCTGCACGCTCGTCCGGGGTACAGAGACGAACACGAAAACGATATCTCTCTATCTCTCAATCTATCTCTCTATCTATGTATCTATGTATCTATGTATCTATGTATCTATCTATCTATGGCTTTCTCTTTCTCTCTCTCCTGGCATGACTGTCTGACTGTTTGTCTATCTCTCTGTACCTCTCTGTCTGTCTCTGTCTGTTTGTCTGTCTGCCTGTCTGTCTGTCTGTCTCTCTCTCTCTCTCTCTCTCTCTCTCTCTCTCTCTCTCTCTCTCTCTCTCTCTCTCTCTCTCTCTCTCTTTCTTTCTCTCAAAAGTCCCAAAAGACCCTTTGCATCATCTAAAGCTCCCTGCTGATTTCCCCGGGAGAGCACTTAGAGTGTATGAATATT